CACACCACACTGCCATACCACACTGTCATACCACAATGTCACACCACACTGCCACACCACACTGCCATACCACAATGTCACACCACACTGCCATACCACACTGTCATACCACACTGCCATACCACAATGTCATATCACACTGTCATACCACACTGTCACACCACACTGCCATACCACACTGCCATACCACACTGTCATACCACAATGTCATACCACAATGTCACACCACACTGCCATACCACACTGTCATACCACAATGTCACACCACACTGCCATACCACACTGTCATACCACAATGTCACACCACACTGCCATACCACAATGTCACACCACACTGTCATACCACAATGTCACACCACACTGCCATACCACAATGTCACACCACACAGCCATACCTCACTGTCATACCACACTGTCATACTTGGAAACTGGCTTCCACGGGAGATATCACTTGGGTGTGATACTTGTTACAGGAAGCAGATATATTGCTTTTATCATCTTAACTGGCTTCCACGGGAGATATCACTTGGGTGTAATACTTGTAACAGGAAGCAGATATATTGCTTTTATCATCTTAACTGGCTTCCACGGGAGATATCACTTGGGTGTAATACTTGTTACAGGAAGCAGATATATTGCTTTTATCATCTTAACTGGCTTCCACGGGAGATATCACTTGGGTGTAATACTTGTTACAGGAAGCAGATATATTGCTTTTATCATCTAAACCGGCTTCCACGGGAGATATCACTTGGGTGATATATTTAAGTTGCATTACAATGCTTTGCAGGCCACTGTGACTGGTTACAATGACATCACAATCAAATGACATCATTAACCTCTCTGCCACTGAGGCCGGTTAGCTGAATGTTTTGCACTCAAGACACCGGCTATTACTGATTACAAACTAAAAATGTTGGAAGAATGAATTTGGATGATAAATAGAATCTTACCCTCAAGTCTTGTGATATCAAATATATCAATGCTCATCACTAAATGTATAAAAGTTTGAAACTTCTATCAATAAGCGTTGATATATTTGATATCAAAAGTGATGAGGGTGTGATGGATACCCCTCTTGGTTTGTAGTGATACATAGCACTTAATATCTTGCTCATCAACAGACTTGAGTGAGCGAGTGAGTATGGTTTTACACCGCTTTTAGCAATATTTCAGCAATATCACGGCGGGGACACCAGAAATGGAAACTCACTCACTCACTCTGGCTGCAGTGTTTTTTGTACGATATATAACTCCCACTCATCGTTTATTTCTTGTACGAGATATCAACATTATGTACAGCCTCTTTAAGGATGATGATAAAATATACAAGCTTTAAAAACGTTTTTCAATAATGATGACTCTGTCTATAGAATCAGTCTTCGGCAATGTCGGACAAGTCCATTTCATGCACAGGTGGGAATTTCCCGCATGTTATCACAATCCTCACGTTAATAACCTGTACCGTTTCTCCCAATACCGATTGTCATATCTCTCCTGCTTTTGGATGCAGTCGTTCAGCCATCGCATTTATCTGCGTTGCCCAGTAACATCTATGGGGAACATCTCACTAGACACTCCCCTCTCGAAAATAACGTCAACAATATAAGACGTCATAAAGTTGTAAGCGCATGTTCGAATCTCCAGAAATGACGTCATGATAGAACAATATTTTATTTTGAAATAAACCTGCTTTGTCTTCATTGTTCTTAGCGATTTATTGCAACGCTATCTTATATTTTGGCATAAGAATGTTACATAAGCTCATTGTGTTGGCATAATCATTGGATGAAGTTACGTTCAATTATTTGCAACAGTGGCCTGATAGGATGTCACATTCGCAAACCATGAAAGCAATGGAACAGTTGGAACGAAGCAATCTCATTAAAATCAGATCTTAGCTCTCGTTACCGCTAAACAAAGATCTGAGGACATCCCATTACGGGTCACGTCAGAACGACCTTACGTGAAGTTGGACCAACCAACTGAATGACTAACAAGAAGTCGACATTAGCCAATCAAAAGGCAGCTTTCTCGTGCTTTATGGCACTTATTTCAAATTGGCGACTACGCTTCAAAACATATTGATAATTTCTCAATTAAAAATTTGAAACCTGAACAAAAGAACATTCTGGAATGGCTAATAGATGGTCTAGATTGTATTGATTCAGTCGTTAAGCCCGTACCTATCGTTTGGAATACCCCGTGTTAAAGTTTTCGAGGTTGCATGATTAGGAATCATATTCCGAGTGGCACTTTCATGATCTGGTAAGCGATGCTCTGATTGGTCGGATGAAAGGTCGTTCTGACGTGGCCCCTAATGGGATGTCCTCAGATCTTTGTTTAGCGGTAGCGAGAACTAAGATTAGATTTTAATGAGATTAGGAACGAACTTGCCAGTCAGCATGAAGCAAAACTTAAATGCTCAGTGAAATTAATTGAACAAAATATGAATGAGTTTCAAGCTTATTCTCCAGAGTATATTGCCACAATTGCTAAGATCATTTACGAACCACAATGTGCTTTCAAAATAAATAGTCTTTTTTTTGGTGATTTGGTCAAATCATCATATCTTATTTAGATAATTCTCTCAACCAATTAAAATGCAGGATTTTATAATGCCATGGTAACAATGTATGCAAAATATTTAACAGAAAGTAATAAATCAATTTGACGCTGAAATTCAACATTATCACAGAAGACAGTAAACATGAAATACTAAATAACCTGAATATAACAAAATAGTGCCACAGCACTGTAGCTCACCTGGGTATGTTGTCAATGTTTCCATTGCAAGGACATGCACTTTGATCAAGGTAAAAAAGTGATGGCTCCCTCGTAGCCATATTGAAAGTTCAAGTTTGATATCTTGAACAAACGTAACCCCCTCACAGTAACAATCATACAGAAATAATTATAGCTGATCCATCCAGCCATGTCAGAGAAGATGTTGACATGTAATGCCCCCATTTCACTACAACCACAAATATCCTGAATCGCCCTGAATAGGATATGTTTCATGTTCGTAGATAAATCTCAAGCATTTCTTGAAGTTCTTAAATGAATCTTATTTGATTCCCAAACATTCGTACAGTTTGCGGGAGTTTGACGAATCGGTGAGAAATTTTTTGTTTGTCAAAAACTTTCATGGAAGGGTCCCCGAATTGCAATTTCGTGGCTGAATTGTAATCCATTCGTAATTAATTGTTATGTTCCGTAGCAGCTTCGCAATCGATTTTTTGGCATTCTTGACTATTCTTAGCGTTTTGTGGCTCCCAAAATTTCTTGTCCTCAACCCCAAAACAACCCGAAACAGCCACGAATGTCCCGAGTCAACTACGAATCATGTAAGAATTAAGTAAGAACAACAAGGTTCCCCAAGGACCAGGACCAGCTCGTGCTCTCCGTTGAACCTCCATGGTGGAAATGATGGGTTGGCCAGTTTTTGGGGACCCAAGAACATGCCGAAGTGTCAGGAAAAGTACCGATTTTTGCAAACTATTCATAAATATGTCGTATTAGTCGTATATTATTCGTTGCGATCGTCCTGCATTTGTACATGCATTCGGCATATTCGTAAATTAGTCGTAGGTGATTCTTACAATTCGTGCATGATCCGTACATGAATCTTGTCGTTCATACATGTTTCTTAACCCATTCGGGGGCACGGGTGGCCCAGTCGTCTAAGGCGCCGCGATTCGCTGTGCAGAGTTGCGTCCCTTGTGGGCATGCCAGAAACCTATGATTGTGGGTTCGAATCCCGGTTCGCCCCGATGATGTTTCTAGGTTTGTTTCATGAAAGTTTGCATTATTGGCCGAATCATCACAAATTTCGAAAGTTTCTGATTCGGGTCGATTTGGGATATTCGTGGTCGTAGTTAAAGGGGGAATAAAGAGTTTAAGAACAACGACAACAGACAACTTGCAAAGACATACGCTCACAAGCCCTTTCATGTCAGGTTGACTAAAATGGTAAAAATATCAGAAAACATCACTGCATTAAAGTGTATCCAAGTTTTTGCCATTGCCATTTTAACATAGAATGGATTCTCACAGCAAACTATGGGCTGTGTGAACACATTCAGAAACTATCAAAACCACACACTGAACAAACAATCCCATCCCCCCATCCACCTACCATCCCACCCATTCACTGTCCCTCCCACCCACCATCCCTAACGTCCCACCCATTCACCCATCCCACCCACCATCCCACCCAGTTATAATTATGTAGACATCAATTATATATTTTATCACATCAAACAAGTCACATGTGCAGAATATGTTTTGGCAAATATTGAGATGCTGAAGCAGTTCTTTTATTTTGAAATTACAAAAATTCAATGTGATCTCTTAATAAAAAATGGCCCAATTTTCTTTTTTAAAAAGCACACCTTCATTCGTGGAGCTCTTTAAAAACATAAACAGTCGAATCTTAATGTAAAACTGATGCATGCTTGTATTTGGGACCAATAGCATCCTTCTCTCATAAACAACAACTAGAATCACGTATATAAGTAGAAATAGAGTGTTAAAATAACATAACAAGGATATTGCCATGACAACACTACATACGTCAGCCGACAAACCATTCTTGAAACAGGTATCTCACGGTCATTGATTGGGACCTTTCATATTTATCACAGCTGACAGTGAAGACAACTCTAATTTTAAAATAGTTTATAGAAGAATCGTGTAAACATATTTGGAACATTGTCAGTAAGCGCGGATTTAACAAATATATACCTTGGCAAATGAAGTCAACTTGGCACTATTAAAAACATGGCTGCTGCCATTGATCAACTGCAGCATAATACAGTCGAATTGTGTAAAAGTTAAAAAACCATTTGGAACCAAACTTCCCAGGCTGCAGAAGGGGATACTGTTGTCTCAGTTCCATGAAGGCCGCGGAACGCGAGTCCAGTGGATAGGTGTGGCTCCAGGTGTGGATCCAGGTGTGCTGCTTGGAATTGCCTTGCTGTGCCAACACGACGTCATGATGTACATTTGCCATTCATAGAGTTGAATTATTTTTGTACTTTGCTATTCATAGAGTTGAATTATTTTTGTACTTTGCTATTCATAGAGTTGAATTATTTTTGTACTTTGCCATTCATAGAGTTGAATTATTTTTGTACTTTGCCATTCATAGAGTTGAATTATTTTTGTACTTTGCTATTCATAGAGTTGAATTATTTTTGTACTTTGCTATTCATAGAGTTGAATTATTTTTGTACTTTGCCATTCATAGAGTTGAATTATTTTTGTACTTTGCCATTCATAGAGTTGAATTATTTTTGTACTTTGCCATTCATAGAGTTGAATTATTTTTGTACTTTGCCATTCATAGAGTTGAATTATTTTTGTACTTTGCCATTCATAGAGTTGAATTATTTTTGTACTTTGCCATTCATAGAGTTGAATTATTTTTGTACTTTGCCATTCATAGAGTTGAATTATTTTTGTACTTTGCCATTCATAGAGTTGAATTATTTTTGTACTTTGCCATTCATAGAGTTGAATTATTTTTGTACTTTGCCATTCATAGAGTTGAATTATTTTTTCATAAGCCATCTTGGCAGGGATGTGTCTTGGTCCAGAGGTTGGAGTCTGTTGGTTCGCTCAGTTGCTCTTGTTCTTGTGGAAGAGTGCCTTTTCCAGTCCCATCATGGGTGATTCGAACGTGAGGGAGAGGATGGCAGCGACACCGTACGACACGCCCATGTTGCCCAGGAAAGCATAGGCCTGGAAGTGGACGAAGTGGAGCTGTTGAATTCAACACCAAGTGTCGCAACACTGACACTTACAGATTGTTACACTCAGACATTGCCACTTGGGAGATTCACCTGAATATTCCATCTTACCATGTACCTCCCTGTATATTCCAGCCCTGCCCAGCCAGGTCGACCTAGTGGACCATGTACCTCCCTGTATATTCAAGCCCTGCCCAAGGAGGTTGACCTAGTGGACCATGTACCGCCCTGTATATTCAAGCCCTGCCCAGGCAGGTCGACCTAGTGGACCATGTACCTCCCTGTATATTCAAGCCCTGCCCAGGGAGGTTGACCTAGTGGACCATGTACCTCCCTGTATATTCAAGCCCTGCCCAAGGAGGTTGACCTAGTGGACCATGTACCTCCCTGTATATTCAAGCCCTGCCCAGGGAGGTTGACCTAGTGGACCATGTACATCCCTGTATATTCTAGCCTAACCAATCCTGGTGTATCTAGCGGACCAGGTACCCCCCTGTATATTCTAGCCTAACCAATCCTGGTGTATCTAGTGAACCAGGTACCCCCCTGTATATTCTAGCCTAACCAATCCTGGTGTATCTAGCGGACCAGGTACCCCCCTGTATATTCTAGCCTAACCAATCCTGGTGTATCTAGTGAACCAGGTACCCCCCTGTATATTCTAGCCTAACCAATCCTGGTGTATCCAGTGAACCAGGTAACCCCCTGTATATTCTAGCCTAACCAATCCTGGTCTATCTAGTGAACCAGGTACCCCCCTGTATATTCTAGCCTAACCAATCCTGGTGTATCTAGCGGACCAGGTACATCCCTGTATATTCCAGCCCCGCCCAGGCAGGTCTATCTAGTGGACCAGGTACCTCCCTGTATATTCCAGCCCCGCCCAGGCAGGTCGACCTAGTGGACCAGGTACCTCCCTGTATATTCCAGCCCCGCCCAGGCAGGTCGACCTAGTGGACCAGGTACCTCCCTGTATATTCTAGCCTAACCAATCTAGGTCTATCTAGTGGACCACGTACCTCCCTGTATATTGCAGCCTAACCAATCTAGGTCGACCTAGTGGACCAGGTACCTCACTGTATATTCTATTCTAACCAATCCAGGTCTATCTAGTGGACCACGTACCTCCCTGTATATTCCAGCCCCACCCAGGCAGGTCTATCTAGTGGACCAGGTACCTCACTGTATATTCCAGCCCCACCCAGGCAGGTCTATCTAGTGGACCAGATACCTCACTGTATATTCTATCCTAACCAATCTAGGTCTATCTAGTGGACCACATACCTCCCTGTAAATTCCAGCCTAACCAATCTAGGTCTATCTAGTGGACCACGTACCTCCCTGTATATTCCAGCCTAACCAATCTAGGTCTATCTAGTGGATCATGTACCTCCCTGTATATTCTAGCCTAACCAATCTAGGTCTATCTAGTGGACCACGTACCTCCCTGTATATTCCAGCCTAACCAATCCAGGTCTATCTAGTGGACCACGTACCTCCCTGTATATTCCAGCCTAACCAATCCAGGTCTATCTAGTGGACCAGGTACATCCCTGTATATTCCAGCCCCACCCAGGCAGGTCTATCTAGTGGACCAGGTACATCCCTGTATATTCTAGCCTAACCAATCCAGGTCTATCTAGTGGACCACCTACCTCCCTGTATATTCTAGCCTAACCAATCTAGGTCTATCTAGTGGACCACGTACCTCCCTGTATATTCTAGCCTAACCAATCCAGGTCTATCTAGTGGACCACGTACCTCCCTGTATATTCCAGCCTAACCAATCTAGGTCAATCTAGTGGACCACGTACCTCCCTGTATATTCCAGCCTAACCAATCCAGGTCTATCTAGTGGACCAGGTACATCCCTGTATATTCCAGCCCCACCCAGGCAGGTCTATCTAGTGGACCAGGTACCTCACTGTATATTCTATCCTAACCAATCTAGGTCTATCTAGTGGACCACGTACCTCCCTGTATATTCCAGCCTAACCAATCTAGGTCAATCTAGTGGACCACGTACCTCCCTGTATATTCCAGCCTAACCAATCCAGGTCTATCTAGTGGACCAGGTACCTCCCTGTATATTCCAGCCCCACCCAGGCAGGTCTATCTAGTGGACCAGGTACCTCCCTGTATATTCCAGCCCCACCCAGGCAGGTCTATCTAGTGGACCAGGTACCTCCCTGTATATTCCAGCCCCACCCAGGCAGGTCTATCTAGTGGACCAGGTACCTCCCTGTATATTCCAGCCCCACCCAGGCAGGTCTATCTAGTGGACCAGGTACCTCCCTGTATATTCCAGCCCCGCTCAGGCAGGTCTATCTAGTGGACCTGGTACCTCCCTGTATATTCTAGCCTAGCCCAGGCAGGTCGACCTAGTGGACCAGGTACCTCCCTGTATATTCCAGCCCCGCTCAGGCAGGTCTATCTAGTGGACCTGGTACCTCCCTGTATATTCTAGCCTAGCCCAGGCAGGTCGACCTAGTGGACCAGGTACCTCCCTGTATACTTTAGCCTCGCCCAGGCAGGTGGAAGATAGCTGGTCACTCACCATGTTGAGGTCTGTGCTGTAGAACAGCTGGCGTTGAGATGAGTAGTACAGCTCCATGATGATGGGGTGCACCAGGTAGGCGCAGTACGTCAGGCGACTCAGAGGGATGAAGGCCTCCCAAGACAACAGGGTGTTCACGAAGCCTGCAAGGGAGCATTGCATTCAGCAGTCACGTCACATTTATCTGCAGATGGTCTAGTGGTAGTGCGTCCTACCGGAGAGTGGAAGGTCCAGGATTTGATCCCCAGCCACCTTATACCAAATGACGCTAAAAGGTGGTACTGGTTGTTACCCTGTCAGGCGCCCGGGCTAAAATATGGACATGTCGGCTCGGAGTCAGTAATCTGTGTCTGTGTGGGCTATTCACGCCTCGATATTGCTACAACTTATGACATTGTGTTTGTACACATCCTCAAATATCCCATGTATCTTATCTCAATTATTTAAGAAATAAATGACGAGTGGGAGTTGTTTATCATACAATAAAACACTGCAGGCTGACTCATTCATCACCACTCGCCCCTTTCCGTAACCTGCAAGAAGACTCGTCGCCCTATCGATGAATATTATGTGCAAAAATACGACAAACCAATCAGAATGCGTGTATGAATTTAAGTTCTTCGTCAAAGAATCCCTCAGAAATAATTTTTGAGTTTACATATGTCTTGCATCTAAAATATACCCAAGACACAGTTAAATGTGTTCAATCATACTGTATAATTCTGCACGTCCCAATGTGCTGTAAATTGCATCTGAAATATATATAATCTATGGGGAAATAATATGTGGACCATTACGCAACGAGTTGACAATTGTTTTGGGTATGCCCGTTTGCGCTAAGACGGAACCCGGTCGCAAAAATGCCCATGAGAGGGGCATGAGTCGCTATTCGGCTTGTCCCGGAATATCACGAGTTGGTCACGAATGCAGGCTGACTATTGGCAAAAAAGGTACAGATAATCAACTTAAAAATTGTGAAAATATCCGACATTCCCGAGGTCCGACTGTATTCATTTTTTAAATACAGGCAAATATTTTTAAAAGCTTAAACATTTTATTAGGATCCGAAAGAGGCTGTAAATAATGTTGGTTATCTGTACCTTTTCTCCCAATACCGATTATCATATCTCGTCCAATCGTTTTGACCATTGCGTTTATCTGCTTTGCCCAGCTTCATCTAGTAGACACCTATAGGGAACAACTCACTAGACACTTCCCTAAAAAATAACTTCTTCCAATTTACGTTGTCATCAGGTTGCAAGCGCATGTTCGAATCTTCAAAAATGACGTCATAAAAGAACAATGTTTTTTCGTGAAATATAAGATAGCTACGTGATAAATCGCAAAGAAAAATGAAGAACGAAGCGTGGTTTATCTCAGGAGAAAATATTGTTCCATCATGACGGTTAACCCTGTATGTATGAGGTCCACCAACTGGCGCTGACCATTGTGAAGAGAGCGGTAGCGGGCGGTCCGCCATTTTTGTCCATTCATGAATCCTATAGTGATGTGAGGTCGTAATGACATCACCCTAGAAATGATGTCATAGCTGAAGATTGTTGATGTCCTTTGACAATATTGTGGTTTTCTAAGACAGCAGTCGTGATAAGAGCATTTTTTCTGAAGGGCAGTTCAAAAGGATCAAGAAATAATGGGAAACAAGCATATAGTCGACGAAGTCATCTATATCCCCCGCCATTTTAACACGTTATGGTCCCAAACCAGGTAACTGACCCAACATTTCTCTTAGGCAATGTCAAAATAGCTCCAATGGAAATTCTAAAATAAAAATTTATGAAATTCCTAAATAGCAAAAGGCACCAGTTCAGTATGTGCCTAGTAGACATGCAAAGTTTTGTAAGAAAGTATTTAACAGTTTTTGAGTTATGCTCCGGAAACGAACACCACCCTTATAGAACCTAAGTCCAATTTGTTGCCATGGAAACGTAAAAAGTAAAAATTAATAAAATTCCTAAATAGTAAAAGGCACCAGTTCAGCATGAGTCTGATAGACAAGCAAAGTTTTGTAGAGAAATATTTAATGGTTTCTGAGTTATGCTCCGGAAATGATTTCGGGACGCACACACGCACGCACACACGCACACATGGACGGGACCCATTTCTATATCCCCTTGTTGGGGCGGGGGATAATTAAGAAATGATTACACTCGCATGTGAAATACAGCTTAGTTATTGATGTTACTCCGATCTGATGTCTCTCTGCATGAACATCGGTAAAGGCCATAATAATTTCATTGCTAGATTATCATCAACGCCCATCCATCCACTGGTCTATCAGCCTATCAGTGCGTACCTTCCTGTCGTCTGCTTGCAGTCAGCTGTCAAGATGGTGCTCGCTATTTTGAAAATACCAGAGGGTTGGAAACCATTAAAGACTGGTATGACTTCCTTTGTCAGAGTCTGTGACTCTTGTGTCAGATCTTAAACAAGTTTGCTTGTGTGGAACTTGACAAGTTAATCACTTAATTTCAATTGAGGCTAAATTCATTAACACATGAGTACACGTTGGGGCAGGGAAAACGACACAGGTTTGACACAGATAGATCTACATCCGACTGCTACTGTTGAATTTATTATCTTTGTTTTTTCTATCATCCATTGTTCATACCAATGTTTTCAGTCTTCAACTTGACGACTAATAAAAAATAAAGATAAAAAATTTAAAAAAACTCTCTTCCTAGTTTTGAAAAATAGGTTGATGGTAATCTAGCGATTAATTAATATGGCCTAACAGTAATTAATAAAACACATGCACTGGGAGATTTAATGTTGCGTTGTTGTTTTTGCTCTAAGTGTTTAAGAGGTCGCCTTCTGCCTCAGCAGTTTCGGCTGACCTGTCCCTCATTGGGACTCATGTGTGTGAGTTAAGTAGGGTACACATATCTACCGTATTGTGAGTTTTAGTGTTGATGTAATTTCTTTTTTTTTTGTATTGGTAAGATTTCTATTTTTGTATTCATATGTTTTGATTTTTGAATTTTTGATAATTTAATCAAAAGAATATTGTACTTACCGTATATGACCGCGGATAAGCCGACCCCGTAGATAAGCCGAGGTGTTAACTTGACCATTCAAATACGAAAGAAAATGATATGACCCGCAGATAAGCCGAACCAGGAAGTGAAAAAAACACTGCGAAGTCGGACTGCAAGACATGTGCCGGTACTCGCAGATATTCAATAATATAAGATGAAAACTGTTGTAATTATATTGAAAAAGTCATCATTATTTCTAATAAAGATTTAACAAACCAGTCATCCACTTTCATAATGTGGGAAAATGTTTCTCTTGTCTTTTTTTAATCTCATTATGATCGTTTTTTGTTGCCATCAACAACAATGCGCCATTTTGTGAATTGGTGTATATAGAATTATGAACCCGTGAGAAAATGTACCAACAAAAAAAAAACACGTCTTTTTTCGTTTTGAACTCATGATATATCGCGATATGCACTCGGATTAAGGGAAGATCAACACCTAATCCTGTCTTCTCACCCCCATTCCCGGTGGCACAGGCGACGATCACCCAGGCCACGCCCACAGCCCAGGCCGTGCGTCCGACAGTGTTGTACAGAGCGTTGGCCCCATGGCTCATCTTATGACCGTGATTGGCGCCGTCGAGGCCGTACAGCACTGCCAGACATATAGCAGCAGCGGATGCCCACCCTAGCAGACACAGGACCTGAAACATCACAACCAACATCTGGACTATTTCACTCATGGAGACATGAATGTCAGCTACAATTATTTTCAGTAATTCTCATTGAGCAAAACTGTTATTGCGTCATGTGTGCGGGTAGTTGCCGCTCCCGGTGATGGGGTCAGTGAGTATAAGGCTGTCCTCCATTCACTTATAAAACCTCCAGTCACGTTATCCTATTGTTCTCTCCATTTGGGTAAAATCTCATAAACAGGGATGTCATAATATCCAGGAGATATTGTCATCCCCGCAAATTTTGCTATATTATATGTTATAGGTGAGGTGAAATGGGGTTTAACGTCGCGTCCAAGATTATTGCACTTATATAGCGACGTGGAAGTACGTGTGTGTGTTTGTGTGGCTGCTTGTACTAGTCCGGACTGATGCCGATTTATAGTGCTAGCTCACTGAGATACCATGCCGCAGTTTAACATGAATACCCCACTCAGACACAGTAAACTGACTCCGAGCCGACCAGTCCTTGTTTTAGCCCCTTAATGCCGAGCGCCAGACAGGGTAACAACAAGTACCATCTTTTAACGTCTTTTGGTATGACGCGGTCGGAGATCGAACCCTGGACCTTCCGCTCTCCGGGTGGACGCTCTACCACTAGACCACGGACGCGGTATTATATGTTATAATATCGCTGGGATTCTATATAAATTCCTAGGGATTTCATTAATACAACCTCTGTTAATATTGTAACATATGAATGTTTCTCCCCGGAAATTTATTTTACTTTTGAACAGAATGTAATGAAATGTAAAATCAAATGACAAATGTTTTCTTATTCCCACGGATCGAAATTCAACCTTCATATCTGTAGCTTAGTGAGTTTACCACTAGGCTACAGAGGTCTTCAGCAACCCATGCTTGCCGTAAAAAGCGACTATGCTTGTCTTAAGAGGCGACTAACGTGGTCAGTCTCGTTGACTTGGTTGATGCATGTCATCGTATCCCAATTGCATGGATCAGTGCTCATGATGTCACTCACTGGATTGTCTGGTTCAGACTCAGTTATTTACAGACCGCTGTCATATAGCTGGAATATTGCTGAGTGCAGCGTTAAACAACAAACAAACAAACAAACAAACAATGCTTGGTGCTGAGTCACAGATGAAGATTCTCACCCTGTTCATCCTTATCTTGCACTTTGTTGTGTAGAGGATGTAGCCAGCAACGAGGCCGATGATGTAGGGCCCCATCCGACACCAGGGCTTATAGTAGTACTTTGTCGTATAGTTCACAGCCCTGCAAGAATGGATAGTTAACTGTCTTTGTGATCACTACTCAAACCGAATGTACTTTTCAAACAAGCCACACAACAAAACACTGATTTCAATGTACACATTTTTACATGATTACACTATTTGTAGTACTCAGGGATGAGTGAGTGAGTGAGTTGTGTTTAACGCCCCTTTTAACAGTATTCCAGTCAAATCACGGCGTGTCAGCTTAATGTTGGAGGAAAGCCCAAAGTGCAGGTCTCAGACGTTTACCACTTCGGTGAGCACAGGCATGCTGCTGACAAACCTAGAAACATAATCGGGGCGAACAGAGATTCAAACCCGCAACCATAGGCTCCTGGCGTGCCCAAGGGACGCAACTCTGCACAGCTAATTGCGGTGCCTTAGACGACTGGGCCACCCATGCCCCCTATTCAGGGATGAAACAGGTGAGTGAATGTTGTTTTGTGCCACAGTTTGCAATTATTCCAGAGACCTGAGACCAGTGGTTGATAGCATGAGGATTGATTCCTGACATTCGGCCCATAGTCTGAAATACATAGTCTGTAGTGTCAGTAAACATGGAAGACAGGGGACTACACACTGGACACACATACTGCTGGCATCACAACATGGAGACAGGGGACAACATGGAGACAGGGGACTACACACCGGACACACATCCTGCTGGCATCACAACATGGAGACAGGGGACTACACACTGGACACACATCCTGCTGGCATCACAACATGGAGACAGGGGACTACACACTGGACACACATCCTACTGGCTTCATAACATGGAGACAGGGGACTACACACTGGACACACATCCTGCTGGCATCACAACATGGAGACAGGGGACTACACACTGGACACACATCCTGCTGGCATCACAACATGGAGACAGGGGACTACACACTGGACACACATCCTACTGGCATCACAACATGGAGACAGGGGACTACACACTGGACACACATCCTACTGGCATCACAACATGGAGACAGGGGACTTCACACTGGACACACATCCTGCTGGCATCACAACATGGAGACAGGGGACTACACACTGGACACACATCCTACTGGCATCACAACATGGAGACAGGGGACTACACACTGGACACACATCCTGCTGGCATCACAACATGGAGACAGGGGACTACACACTGGACAAACATCCTACTGGCATCACAACATGGAGACAGGGGACTACACACTGGACACACATCCTGCTGGCATCACAACATGGAGACAGGGGACTACACACTGGACACACATCCTGCTGGCATCACAACATGGAGACAGGGGACAACATGGAGACAGGGGACTACACACTGGACACACATCCTGCTGGCATCACAACATGGAGACAGGGGACTACACACTGGACACACATCCTACTGGCATCACAACATGGAGACAGGGGACTACACACTGGACACACATCCTACTGGCATCACAACATGGAGACAGGGGACTACACACTGGACACATCCTACTGGCATCACAACATGGAGACAGGGGACTTCACACTGGACACACATCCTGCTGGCATCACAACATGGAGACAGGGGACTACACACTGGACACACATCCTACTGGCATCACAACATGGAGACAGGGGACTACACACTGGACACACATCCTGCTGGCATCACATCATGGAGACAGGGGACTACACACTGGACACACATCCTGCTGGCATCACAACATGGAGACAGGGGACTACACACTGGACACACATCCTGCTGGCATCACAACATGGAGACAGGGGACTACACACTGGACACACATCCTACTGGCATCACAACATGGAGACAGGGGACTACACACTGGACACACATCCTACTGGCATCACAACATGGAGACAGGGGACTACACACTGGACACACATCCTGCTGGCATCACAACATGGAGACAGGGGACTACACACTGGACACACATCCTGCTGGCATCACAACATGGAGACAGGGGACAACATGGAGACAGGGGACAACACACTGGACACACATCCTGCTGGCATCACAACATGGAGGCAGGGGACTACACACTGGACACACATCCTGCTGGCATCACAACATGGAGACAGGGGACTACACACTGGACACACATCCTGCTGGCATCACAACATGGAGACAGGGGACTACACACTGGACAAACATCCTACTGGCATCACAACATGGAGACAGGGGACTACACACTGGACACACATCCTGCTGGCATCACAACATGGAGACAGGGGACTACACACTGGACACACATCCTGCTGGCATCACAACATGGAGACAGGGGACTACACACTGGACACACATCCTGCTGGCATCACAACATGGAGACAGGGGACAACATGGAGACAGGGGACTACACACTGGACACACATCCTGCTGGCATCACAACATGGAGACAGGGGACTACACACTGGACACACATCCTACTGGCATCACAACATGGAGACAGGGGACTACACACTGGACACACATCCTACTGGCATCACAACATGGAGACAGGGGACTACACACTGGACACATCCTACTGGCATCACAACATGGAGACAGGGGACTTCACACTGGACACACATCCTGCTGGCATCACAACATGGAGACAGGGGACTACACACTGGACACACATCCTACTGGCATCACAACATGGAGACAGGGGACTACACACTGGACACACATCCTGCTGGCATCACATCATGGAGACAGGGGACTACACACTGGACACACATCCTGCTGGCATCACAACATGGAGACAGGGGACTACACACTGGACACACATCCTGCTGGCATCACAACATGGAGACAGGGGACTACACACTGGACACACATCCTACTGGCATCACAACATGGAGACAGGGGACTACACACTGGACACACATCCTACTGGCATCACAACATGGAGACAGGGGACTACACACTGGACACACATCCTGCTGGCATCACAACATGGAGACAGGGGACTACACACTGGACACACATCCTGCTGGCATCACAACATGGAGACAGGGGACAACATGGAGACAGGGGACAACACATTGGACACACATCCTGCTGGCATCACAACATGGAGGCAGGGGACTACACACTGGACACACATCCTGCTGGCATCACAACATGGAGACAGGGGACTACACACTGGACACACATCCTGCTGGCATCACAACATGGAGACAGGGGACTACACACTGGACAAACATCCTACTGGCATCACAACATGGAGACAGGGGACTACACACTGGACACACATCCTGCTGGCATCACAACATGGAGACAGGGGACTACACACTGGACACACATCCTGCTGGCATCACAACATGGAGACAGGGGACTACACACTGGACACACATCCTACTGGCATCACAACATGGAGACAGGGGACTACACACTGGACACACATCCTGCTGGCATCACAACATGGAGACAGGGGACTACACACTGGACACACATCCTACTGGCATCACAACATGGAGACAGGGGACTACACACTGGACACACATCCTACTGGCATCACAACATGGAGACAGGGGACTACACACTGGACACACATCCTGCTGGCATCACAACATGGAGACAGGGGACTACACACTGGACACACATCCTGCTGGCATCACAACATGGAGACAGGGGACTACACACTGGACACACATCCTGCTGGCATCACAACATGGAGACAGGGGACTACAAACTGGACACACATCCTGCTGGCATCACAACATGGAGACAGGGGACTACACACTAGACACACATCCTGCTGGCATCACAACATGGAGACAGGGGACTACACACTGGACACACATCCTACTGGCATCACAACATGGAGACAGGGGACTACACACTGGACACACATCCTACTGGCATCACAACATGGAGACAGGGGACTACACACTAGACACACATCCTGCTGGCATCACAACATGGAGACAGGGGACTACACACTGGACACACATCCTGCTGGCATCACAACATGGAGACAGGGGACTACACACTGGACACACATCCTGCTGGCATCACAACATGGAGACAGGGGACTACACACTGGACACACATCCTGCTGGCATCACAACATGGAGACAGGGGACTACACACTGGACACACATCCTGCTGGCATCACAACATGGAGACAGGGGACTACACACTGGACACACATCCTGCTGGCATCACAACATGGAGACAGGGGACAACATGGAGACAGGGGACTACACACTGGACACACATCCTGCTGGCATCACAACATGGAGACAGGGGACTACACACTGGACACACATCCTACTGGCATCACAACATGGAGACAGGGGACTACACACTGGACACACATCCTACTGGCATCACAACATGGAGACAGGGGACTACACACTGGACACATCCTACTGGCATCACAACATGGAGACAGGGGACTTCACACTGGACACACATCCTGCTGGCATCACAACATGGAGACAGGGGACTACACACTGGACACACATCCTACTGGCATCACAACATGGAGACAGGGGACTACACACTGGACACACATCCTGCTGGCATCACATCATGGAGACAGGGGACTACACACTGGACACACATCCTGCTGGCATCACAACATGGAGACAGGGGACTACACACTGGACACACATCCTGCTGGCATCACAACATGGAGACAGGGGACTACACACTGGACACACATCCTACTGGCATCACAACATGGAGACAGGGGACTACACACTGGACACACATCCTACTGGCATCACAACATGGAGACAGGGGACTACACACTGGACACACATCCTGCTGGCATCACAACATGGAGACAGGGGACTACACACTGGACACACATCCTGCTGGCATCACAACATGGAGACAGGGGACAACATGGAGACAGGGGACAACACACTGGACACACATCCTGCTGGCATCACAACATGGAGGCAGGGGACTACACACTGGACACACATCCTGCTGGCATCACAACATGGAGACAGGGGACTACACACTGGACACACATCCTGCTGGCATCACAACATGGAGACAGGGGACTACACACT